ACCTCCTCTACCTCCACCTCCACCACCCCAACCACCCCTTCCGCCGCCTTCTTGTCTCTTTTGCCAAGGTGGCATTTCAGGAGGTGGTGGTTCGATTTCATTCGGCCGTCCTCCCCTGTCCGGCACCCTTCCCATCAGCACCTGTATGAAGAAACAATTTCTTTCAGTTACTAATATTTTAAAAGTTAAAATTTACATAAAGGACTCAAGTAACACTGAAATTATTGTTCTAATAAAGAAAAAGAAGCCAAATATTTAAGGACATGAAAGTATCAGAATGACAGTATATTGAAAATATAAATTTCCATGTATGACAAATTCCTTACAATGTGGTATTATTTTTAAACACCTAAGAAAATATTTCTAAAACTTAAAGGCTTGTTATTTTCTATTGTTTAAATGTGTTTAGCATATTCTGTAACAAATGTAGTACCCATCATACTAAGAAACTTTTTTAGCAAAACATTAATATACTTAAACTACAGACCTTAAATTAAAACCATATCTACTCATACAACAACTCTGGACTTTCCATTGCTACTGGTTTGGTAATGGACTATCCAATAAAAGATTGTATTTTTAAGCACATTTTTATTTCACAAGTATGAAGTATATGTGATAACATGTGGCTATAATGAGGTCAGAGATGAATATAATGACTAAAACCCCAGGTAGCATTGCAAAGAGATACAAGGATTCTCAGTGAGCTATTCCTCTCTTATGAGAAACTTAAGTTTACTAACGTTCAATGATACTAGTTATTATAAAAAAAAATACTTGATGTCCTTCCTTAACCATGCTTTATAATACTTTAAAGGATAAATCAAGAGTTTGGTTGAAGACCCCAGACTTCTATAGAAAGGCTCTACTCTATATGCCCATGAACAGAGAAAGACAGCTGTGAGGAGGGTGCCTCCCCACCAACCACAGCCAAGGGTAAGCCAATAGCTTCCTGCTAGTCTCTTTCAGAAAAGAAGGTAAAACAGTAACTGCCTCAACCAAACTGACCTATAAATCAGTTAGGTTCTACTTCTATTGATCTTCTAACCAAAACTATGTTTTAGTAATTTATGTCATGAAGAAAAGACAAAAAGTACAACATTCTCACTGTGGGACAAGGTTCAAAGAATGTAAACATTCTTTTAAGGTAGGCAATAATGCCCTAATTACCAAATCCAAAAAATTGCTTTTCTTGGTTGTCATTCTCATTGGTCTCTCCACCAAACATGCTACGTTGGTGGGTATACGAGGATGCTGCTCCAAGAACTGATCATAAGACTGCTCTCAAAAAGATGTTCTAGCCCTAACTGGTTTGGCTCAGTGGATAGAGCGTCAGCCTGCAGACTGAAGGGTCCCAGGTTCAATTCTGGTCAAGGGCATGTACCTGGATTGCGGCACAGTCCCAGTGGGGAGTGTGCAGGAGGCAGCTGAACCGATGTTACTCTCTCATCGATGTTTCTAACTCTCTATCCCTCTCCCTTCCTCTCTGTAAAAAATCAATAAAATATATTTTTTTAAAAAAAAGATGTTCTAACATTTCCTCTGTTCATATCTGTCCCCCCTGAAAAAGTCCCAGAAAGAACCCATCAATGTTCCTCCTGAATGCCTCGGTTTCCAATACAGTTCTGTTCTATATCACTTTAGTAGCCTCTTAGAAGTATTTTGAAAATAAGGAGTTCAAAAGTACATTCTGCCACATGGGTATTTTAGTATAGTAAATTAGGAACACTGACTTAGCTACAGGGCCACATAATAGGTTATACATGGTAACAGCACTGGTTTGATTAAAGTTGCTACCATGTGCATTGACACCACATAATGTGTGCTGGGATGGGCATGTGAACACTTTCTACCCTGGAATAAGATGATTCTTCTTGGTTTTGCCCCATGTCCAAAGGGATACTATTGGGTTGAGTTGTATTTGCAATAGAGAGAAAAAGCCATTAGGTTAAGCATATGATTCAGAAGAAAGGAGATGGAAGAATGATGGTAGATACCTGCTGGGGAGGTATGCTGAATGCTGTCATCCTTACGTTTATTCCAAACTAACCTTGGGCTTCTACATACACTGGCTTTGTTTGACCCTCTTATTTTCCCCTGAAGGTTTAATTAAGTTTGACCATATTCTGTCAACTGTTTCAGTTTCAGTGGAATCTTGTATTTCTGGTTTAGTATAACAAGAAATTGTTCCCTCAAATGTGGAAAAAAAAAAGATTGCCTCAAATAATTAGACTGTAAATTATAAACTCAGAAAAGGGATGGACAATTTCAATTAAAGAAGTTGAACTCTAATTGCTGTAAGAGTAAATAATCTGATGCAAGATACTGAGTAACATACAGGGTGGGGCAGAAGGTTTACAGCTGTTCATATGGAAAATAATACAATAATCCTATATGATAACACTTGGGTTGCGGGAAACGAGTTAAGTCGGCTCGCGTGAATTGCGCGTACTCCGCGGGAGCCGTCTTAAACTCGGTTCATATAGATTTGCGGTGGAGTGCGGGAAACGTGTAAACTCGGGCCGATTGTAACTGCGTATTACCAAATATTTCATTTCAATCGAACCCATACTTCAAAAGATATAGGCATTTTAACGCGCCATCTTATATTTTGGCGGGAAATTCACCCGACACCGTAGTGATAAAAGGGTAATATGCAAATCAATTGAACAGTGGAACGACTGGTGGCTATGCAGGAGCTGCCCCCTGGTGGTGAGTGTGCTCCACAGGGGGAGCGCCACTCAGAAGCTGTTGGTGGTGGGAGTCTCTCCCGCCTCCACAGCAGTCAGACATTCCCCGAGGGCACCTGGACTGCGACAGTGCACAGGCCGGGCTGAGGGGACACCCCCCAAGCCCCAGGTGCATGAATTTCGTGCATTGGGCCTCTAGTTAGTAAATAATAGTATAAGAATAAACTCTTGTGTTTTGCATATTCACAACTATAAACCTTTGCCCCCATCCTGTATTTAAAGACAGAACACTTTCAGAAGATAGAGAAGGTTGGTCTAAAATGGGAGTAGGAGGCATGAACACTAGTGCTTAACTGAGCAATGATTAGGCAAACTGACTTTATAAACAACCATCCATCTGGCAAAATATCCTGCATCAAGGATATATTTCTCACTATACTGAGTGAAAAACGATGTTTTAAAATTACCCAAATCTATTATTTCTGCTCTTTTGTAAAGTCTGTCACAGGCTACTCTATCTAAATGATAGCGTACTTTCTAGTTGAGCTAACAAGTACTTCAGAATAGTTTATTGTTGTAAGTAAAAATTTCAGACTCTACTCTATGAACTTGTTTAAGACCAAGCTTGTCAGAGAAATTGATCTATACTATGAGTCAGGAAACCTCCAAGAGATTCAGTAATTTGCCCACAGTGATTCCTCTAAGTAAATGAACCCAGATTTGTATGACTCCAAAGCATGTACTGTTCCCTTTACACCAAGGATATAGGGAATCTGTCAGTAATGAAACAATTCATGTTTTCATTGACAAAGAATAATTGATTACATTCTTAGAAAGAAATAATTCTTCCTAAAGCTATTGATAAAATAACTCTTAATTCCTCTAATTCAGATAAAACTTTGGTTTAATTAATGAACAGAGAGATTCAAATGAACATGCACACACAAAACTAAGCCTAGATGGACTGAAGCCCTTACACCACTGTCTTTTCTAGTGCATCAGGACATAAAGGAAAAATGGATTAATAACTGTAAAAACAGCATCAAATTGAAAAGGGAACCCACTGTATGGGAGAACATATTTGCCAATGATACATCTGATAAGGGGTTAATTTCCAAAATATATGAAGTTTTCATACAACTCACCAAAAGGAAGACAAACAAACAATCCAATTAAAAAAAAATGGGCAGAGGACCTAAATAGACACTTCTCCAAAGAGGACATACAAATGGCCAAGAGACATATGAAAAAATGATCATCACTAATCATCAGAGAGATGCAAATTAAAATGACAATGAGGTACCATCTCATACCTGTCAGAATGGCTGCATCAATAAATCAACAAACAACAGGTACTGGAGAGTATGTGGAAAGAAAGGAACCCTAGTACACTGCTGGTGGGAATGCAGACTGGTGCAGCCATTATTGGAAAACAGTGTGGAGTTTCCTCAAAAAATAAAAAATGAAACTGCCATTTGACCCAGTGATCCCACTTCTAGGAATATATCCTAAGAAACCTGAAACACCAATCAGAAAGAATATATGCACCCCTATGTTCACAGCAGCATTATTTACAATAGCTAAGCTCTGGAAACGGCCCAAGTGCCCATCAGTAGATGAATGGATAAAAAAGCTGTGAAATTTACACAATGGAATACTATGCAGCTGTGTAAAAGAAGGATCTCTCAACCTTTGAGACAGCATGGAGGGACCTGGAGAGTATTATGCTAAGTGAAATAAGCCAGTCAGAGCAAATCAAGTATGATGTGATCTCACTCATATGTGGAATCTAATAACAAAGTAAACTGACAAATAAAATAGATCCAGAGAATGGAAGCATGGAACAGACTGA